TGTTTGTCTTAGGGTTCATTTTCATTCCGGGTTAGGAGAATTCGTAATTAATTTGTGATTGGAGTAGGATGGTAAAATCCTCCACTTTGTGGGAACCTAACCAACCCAACTTGAAATTTGAATTTAAAAATTATATTATTAGTGGCGGGACGAAATTGATATTTAGGCCATTTATTCATAAATTCGCTTAAAATATATAAATAAAGTATATTAATATTTATAGTATTAATATATTTTTCTATTAAATAAATTGATATTTGGTAGGACTTTTCTAAAAATAGGGAAATGTCAAGATTGAAAATGATATCCATAGAAAAATTATTAGATAATTATATATATAAATATATGCACATAACTTGTTGGACTTGGCTAGCTATATAGCTATGATAACAAGCAAAATGACATGCAATATCTATAGTTATCCCTTTTAGTTTTGGCAAGCCTCCACCCAAAGCTAATTTATATGATCACAAGGCCATATGCAATGAATCCTTATAATTTTGTTAATACATTATTTCATAAGTTCAATGGGATTTATCCCTTTCATTCCATGTGTTGCAATTACATGAACTATCATTGAGGTCCTTTTCTCATATTGGAAAAAGTCTCATGACTATAATTGCTTCCCTTTCTAAAAATATATGAAGTTCAATTTTATCAAGAGATGGTTTGGTTAGTTAAGAAAAGTGGATTTAGATTTACATTTGCATCATTTAGTGTCGATGTATGTTTATATGAATATAACTAATTCACGTTCGAATAAGGTATTTAAATAAAACTCTCTTGGCGAATTTAAGTATTGAACTCTTGACTGTGTAAGCGAGATTAGCTTGGAGATTGTTCAAAATAATATAAAGATTATTTAATCATTTTTAATTATTTAATTATTGTTCAAAATAATATAAAGAAAAGTGGGTATTTAATTATTTTTCCTTTTGATATAAAGATTTTTAAGATTTTAAATAATATATGAATTTAGTATGCTTATTTGGCTCAATAAAAATAAAATAAAATAAATGGATTGTTCAAAATCTCTCAACTATAATAATCTATCATTTTTAATTTTTGAAATTCCACCTTTCATTTGGGATTTTCCATGAATTTAATATCTAGACTAAAACAAATATTATACATCAAGTCAAAATTCATGTTTTTAATTTCATGCATTTTGATAAATTATATGTATTCCCATAATAATAATAATAATACCTACTAGTGCTATCATTTCTAAAATTCCCTTCTTCAATACTAAAAAATGCTTATAATATTAAAATATTACTTTTATTATTATATGGGACATGAGAATATATTATTTGTCATACTTGAAACTGAAAAAAAAAAACAAATTACTTCATAAATTAAATAATTAAAAAGCTTGGACACATGTATTGCCCAACAAGATAAACTAAATAGAGTACTTTTGTTGAAGCTCTAAAGAGAAGCAAGTTGCTAGTCAAATTAATTAATAAAAAAATGTGAATTACCTTTCAAGACACAACAGAACTAATATTTAATGTATTATTATATTTTAATTCTTTTTCTCATTTCATTGTTGAACAATAAATGTAATACCACATGTTTTTTTTTTTTTTTTTTTAAATAATCAAATTAATTAATAAAAAAAATGTGAATTACCTTTCAAGACACAAACAGAACTAATATTTAATGTATTATAATATTTTAATTCTTTTTTCTCATTTCATTGTTGAACAATAAAGTAATACCCGACATGTTTTTTTTTTTTTTTTTTTTTTTTTTTAAATAAGACAGAAGACATATATATAGTCTTTCTTCAGTCACATACTAAATTTTTTATTTATATCAAATAATTCCACTCTTTGGTCATTAACTCATCTTAAGCATATAATTTAATCAGTTAATTTCATCCCTAGTTTAATAAATTGAACCGACTTTACTTATTATAATAATAAAATAAACTTTGTTAAACAACATACTCATAATTAGGTATAAACTTAAAACTAATGAAAAGGATAAGAATAATCAATAACGTAACATAATATTAAGTTTTGTTTAAGCAAAAAAATAACATTAATTCGATCTATTGAATATTTGTCTAAATCTGATACGAATAAGACTCGTCCTACTAAAAATAAAGTGAATAAAAAGTTGATCTGAACTCGACTCGTTCTCGATGCAAGATCACACGGTGATTGATGCAGTGAATATATAAATATATATATATTATATATATATATATATATTAATTAAGAAACATATTGTAGTATTAATTAAGAACATATTGTAGTATACGGTTTTGAATTGGAATTTGCATATAAAACCCATACATATGATGCAAGGCAAACAACCTTATCCTTCTCCAATGGCTCTTTCTCACAAATATACACACACAAAAGAACACATACACGCAATTCCTTACCTTATTCTTGTACAAGGAGATAAAATAGCACACATATCCTCACCTTCTAAAAATATTAATATATACCAAATATTTACTAAAAATTATGTTTTCTTTTTTATTTATTTTCAAAATATAGAAATATTAGTTATTATTATAATAATTGAGTTTAAGTATTAATATTTTAATATTATAATTTAATTGTAATCTTAGGATTATAATTAAATTCAAATATTAGTTCTTTAATCTAATGTTAATTACTATAAAATATTAATTCTTAAGATTTCTAATTGTATTGATAAAAATATTAGTTTTTTTAATAATCATATTAGTTATGAGATATGTCTTTCCTAATTCAAGAGAATCTTTGAATGAAAAAAAAAAAATCTAAATCTTATGGTCAAATCATATTTTGTAAATAGCTAATATAAAAAATAGTCATTATAAATAATAATTTAATAATTTTCAATAATTATTATTATTACAAATTATAATTTAGCTTCAATATTATTATTTAAATAATATATGTAAATAAGGCACTTGAAACTTTTTACATTTTTTTGAATTTATTTTAAATAAATATATGTAGATGATTCAGATTTGATTTAAAAAGGCTATGGTTCAATTTCTTTAATTACAAATTGCTTTTAATTTGGTTAGCCAAAAAATAAGATAAAAACTTATTATTTTTAAACATCTCATATTTAATTAATTAGTTGTATTGATATCTTATATAATTCAAATCCTATTTCTATGAAAGAATATAATTTTGTTAATAATTTTTTAAAATGCTTTCATGATTTTGATTGGCTAAAAAAATAAAAATAAAAGTTCATTATTGTTTATAAATATTTAATTTAATTTATTAGATTAAAGTTTTCTTATTCTATTGTTAACGTATATTTACTATGAGAGATTATAGTGAAGAAAATATGTAAATTAATTATAAAATGAATAATAGAAGTTATATTACGATTTTTATAAATCAACCTGGTTTTTCCTAAAAAAGAAAATGAAAGCAACTAATGTATAATAAAAACTATATGAATCAGTACGTTGATATAGAACTACTGACGTCCATACACTATATTTAGTTTTATATTATAATACATGTTATAGTATTGCTTATTTTACCTATATTTTCTTTTTTTAAGGTGATAATTATAAAATAATACCTAGGTTATATTTATAACCATTTAAATCAATAAAATAAAAAATTTAATTATATTAAATATTATATCTTAATTGAAAATAATTTAAACCGATGTTAAAGACTATAATGGTAAAAATTTATATTTTAATATTATATAAATGAAAAATTAAACCGATGTAAAGAAACATATAATGAATATAGTCAACATGTAACGCTCGTCATAAAAAAGACTAGTTCTTTTTTAAGTACCGGAATGTACTCTATTAAGTTTTAAATATATAGAGATGGAAATATATTGATATGGATATAGACAGAAAAAAAAAAAAAAAAGTTGCCATTAAGTTTTAAAGAGAAAGGTGTAGTGATTAAAAATACAGAGAGAAAGGTATAGTTTTCTGCTTGTGTCTAATTTTACTACTAAAATGGTTAGGAGAACCTTTTTTTTTTTTTACCTCAATGCGATATCAAACCTAACGCTCCATTTATTTTTGAACAATAACTTTTTTATGAAAAATATTTTCAAAACTTATTTCCTGTTTTTTGATTAAAATATGTAAAATTAGTTTAAGATATTAAAATTTACTATTTAATAAAAAAGTGATTGGCAATGTGAATTCGAACATTATTTATAACAAAATTCGAACAAATTTTTAATAATAAAATAAAATAAAATTTATTTGACAAAACAAATAAATTTTGTGGTAATTTTTCTCAGATAAAGTAAATATATAATAATTTATTAACATAAAACTTTCGTATTAGAATTCTAAAGACACTATAGATTATACAATAAGAGTAGCTATCTCTTTTATTCACCAAATTGATAAAATCTTTTGTAGTGAAAAAATTTTAAAACTCTCAACCTAAGTGAGAATAGCAAGTGAGAATACCATCTATATTACACCTACTTAGCAAAAATTTATAAGCAAAAAATAACAAAAAAGAAAAAGTATAAACAAATTTATATATATATATATATATACTTACAACTAAAAATTGTATGGGTTAGGGCATCTGTCTCACGTGCACGGGTATAACAGCGAAAACTGCCGGGCTCGCCCGCAAGCAATCGCCATCAATGACCGACACTTGTACCCAAAAAGCAGCCGCGTGGTTGGCTGACGCGTATAATAAAACACTTCTCCTCCGTCCTAACTCTCTCCTTTCCTACGCTGACATGGCGGTCAGCAAACCCCACATGACTCCCTCATTTCTTGCCATGTATACGTGTTATGGGCCCCACGTTGTCCCCTATTTCCCCTACATCACAGTTAGCTTTTGTTTTTGTTTTTTGTTTTTTATATTTTGCTTTCCAATTTTCAAATTTCCACCCTTGCTCTTTCCGTCAGCTGCCTTCCGTCCTAGCGCCTTTTGTTCAGTGGGTCTCATTCCTACGTGGAGCATGACGTGGTCACTCACGGAAGCTAGTCAGTAGTCACCGTCCTGCGCTATATAAACCCCAGTAATCCTTCCGTTCCTTCTCACACACCGCGAAACACTTTTCTTCTTCTCATCTACAAGCTCCCATTACAGATTCAAACAAACAAAAAAACAAACAGATATAGCTCAATTTTATTTGTTTTCTTGTATTATAATGGCTGTTGATAATGCTCTTTCGTCGCCGTTGGGTCCTCCAGCGTGCGAGAAAGATGCAAAAGCTCTTCAATTCATTGAAGAAATGACCAGAAATGCTGATTTGGTTCAAGAAAATGTCTTGGCTGCAATCTTGAGCCGAAACAAAGACGTTGAGTACTTGAAACGTTTCAACCTTGATGGAGCCACCGACCGCGAAACGTTCAAGTCAAAAATACCAATGATCACATATGAAGATCTTCAACCTGAAATCCAACGTATCGCTAATGGCGATCGCTCTGCTATTTTGTCTGCTCATCCTATTTCTGAATTCCTCACTAGGTGAGAGTGAGTCTTTAATAACTTACATACATATGTTTTATATAAAATTTCGTTCTGGAATTCTTGTTTGCTAATAGTTTCCTTAAATTAAAAAACAGTTCCGGAACATCAGCTGGTGAAAGAAAGCTCATGCCAACAATTCAAGAAGAGCTGGATCGTCGTCAATTATTGTATAGTCTACTAATGCCAGTAATGAACTTGTAAGTTTGGAGAACTTAAGAAACGCGTTTCTAATTAATTATAAATTCACTTCATTAAATACGCTCCACATGCTGTGTTTATTGCAACAATAATAACACTAAAACGCGTTTTTTTGATTCATCAGGTACGTACCTGGATTAGACAAGGGCAAAGGCTTATATTTCTTGTTCATAAAATCTGAAACACGAACCCCAGGCGGACTGTTGGCTCGTCCTGTGCTTACCAGCTACTATAAAAGCGAACATTTCAAGAATCGACCTTACGATCCTTATAATGTGTATACAAGTCCTAATGAAGCCATTCTTTGCCCAGACTCATTCCAAAGCATGTATACTCAAATGCTCTGCGGCCTTTTGGAGCGGGAACAAGTGCTCCGAGTCGGTGCAGTGTTCGCCTCTGGTCTTCTTCGTGCTATTAGGTTTCTTCAACTCAACTGGGAACAACTCGCTGATGATATAGAGTCTGGCACGCTTAATGAGCGTGTCACTGACCCTTCTATCAGAGCCTGCATGAAAAATATTCTGAAACCCAATTCTCAACTTGCAGAGTTTATCAGGTTTCAGTGTTCGAAAGAAAAATGGGAAGGAATCATTACTAGAATTTGGCCTAACACTAAGTACTTAGAAGTTATTGTTACAGGAGCAATGGCTCAGTATATTCCTACTCTTGATTACTACAGCGGTGGATTGCCCAAAGCTTGCACTATGTATGCTTCATCAGAGTGTTATTTTGGGTTAAATCTTAATCCTATGTCTAAACCATCAGAAGTTTCTTATACAATCATGCCAAACATGGGCTATTTCGAGTTTTTGCCTCATGACCCGAGCTCAACCGGGTCGACTCGTGACTCATCACCGAAACTCGTTGACCTTGTTGATGTTGAAGTAGGGAAAGAGTACGAGTTTGTTATAACTACTTATTCAGGTTTGTACAGATACCGAGTTGGTGATATCCTTCGAGTTACCGGGTTTCATAACTCAGCTCCTCAGTTTCAGTTTGTAAGGAGAAAGAACGTGTTACTCAGTATTGACTCGGACAAAACAGATGAAGCCGAGTTACAAAACGCAGTAGAGAACGCGTCTCAGTTGTTAAAAGAGTACAAGACAAGTGTGGTTGAATACACGAGTTTTGCGGATACAAAGACGATTCCGGGTCATTATGTGATATATTGGGAGTTATTAGTGAAAGACTCGGCCAACTCACCAAGCAAGGAAGTACTGAATCAGTGTTGTCTTGCAATGGAAGAATCGTTGAACTCAGTTTATCGACAAGGCCGAGTTGCTGATAACTCAATAGGGCCATTAGAGATAAGAGTGGTGAAAAATGGTACATTTGAAGAATTAATGGACTATGCAATATCAAGAGGAGCATCGATTAACCAGTATAAAGTACCAAGATGTGTTAATTTTACACCAATTATGGAATTGCTCGATTCAAGAGTCGTGTCAACACATTTTAGTCCATCTTTACCTAATTGGACCCCAGAAAGAAGAAGGCGATGAAGGATTTTTTTTTTTTTTTTTAATACCTAATTGGGACCCCAGAAAGAAGAAGGCGATGAGGATTTTTTTTTTTTTTGTTAAACAGGTACCGACCAGCGATACGGTCATTTATCATTGGGATATGTGTCAAGTAAAAAGCGGTTGAGAAATCCTTAGGAATGGGCCAGGATTTTTAATTAATTTTATTTTTTAGGGTTTTTTTTTTTTTTTTTTTTTTTTTTTTTTTTTAATTTTAAGTATGGGAAGTGTGTAGGTTTTGGAAGAAAGAAAATGATAAAAGTGTAAGGATTCAATAGGATGTTTCAGGGTCAGGGTTTACATTTTGATTCAATTAACCAAGGAGGAAAAATGATGTGATGTAGACCTTGAAGATGTTTGTCTAATGAATTGTTACTTTCAAGGTAATGGAAATATATGAATGATAGTTTTTTTTTTTCTTTTTTTTATTATTCTTATTTTGTTTTTGAGTGAGGACATGCTTATTGCTTATCAATTCACCAAAAGCCGACACTGGATAAAAGAAATACGAAAGAAAAATTTTATTTGATATTAAATTTATATATAAAAGCCACCAACCAAGTTGAGTCCTCATGCATGGTATATTCTCTTCCAGTCATTGTTTACAAATATAATTTACTTATAAATTCATTTATTCAACTTTCAATATATATATATATATATATAAAGAAAATTTCATTCAAATACTCTGCTAAGTATTTGAATTTTTTTACTATTCACAAGAGACTCAATGCATCTGAATAACATTGTGAATTACAGAATATGGGTAGCCTTCTCCTTTAAATAACATTCTCCAAATTGATGATAATTTTATAGTTAAAAGGAATCAAACTCAAGACCTCTCACTCTCACATCTTCTACCAACCGTGATAAAACCAAACAGATTACACTTGTTTGACATGATTTTAATTTTATTAGTTGAAAAATAAAGGTAATCTAGTTTTGATTGGTTATATTAATTTTCTAGTTAAATTCAAATTCTATTGGATAAAATAATAAATTATATTATATACTAAATAAGGTTTATATTAAATATAGCAAGAATACAAGAATTCAATTTTATAAAATAAGAAATTATGTAATATATTAAATCTAGTAAAAATATAAGAATTCAATTTGATTAAAATAAAAAATTATATTATATATTATATTAAATGTGGTATATTTTAAATAAGGTCATAATGTAAAAATTCAGTTTGATTTATTCTTAATCTTTAATTTGAACAATATTATATATATTTGAACAAATTATATATATATATTATAATATATATATATATATATATGGAGGGAAAAAATATTTGGATTGCTAATTAAACGCACCGCTATTAAGTTTATAGATTAATAAATACATCTCAAAATATTTTAATTTTATTGCCTGAAAAAATTTTAATTTTGATTGGTTATATTAATTCTAAATTAAATTCAAATTCTATTGAATAAAATAAGAAATTATATTATATACTAAATAAAGTTTATATTAAATAAGGTAAGAATGTAATATTTTAAAGGAATTTAATTTTATTGATTTAAAAATAAAAAAATAAATGTAATTTAATTTTGATTATTAGTTATTGATTTTCTATTTAGATTTAAATTTTATTATAAAAATAAGAAATTATATTATTATATACTAAATAAGGTATATGTTAAATAAAGGTATAATGTGTTAAAATATGGTAAGAGATGTTTATATTTTAAGAATTCTAGAATTTATTCGGTCGAATAGTAATATATATATAATATATATATTATAAATTATATATATATATATATAATATATATTAGTAGTTATATTTTATAGGATTTTAAATTTAATAATTAAAAATATAAAAGTAACCTTAATTTTGAAATTGGTATATAAATTTTTCTATTCAAATTTATTATCCTATTGATAAAATAATACAAATTGTATTACATATTAAATAACAATATAATTAAACTAATAGTGAAAATAGAATAAGAATTATATAATTATATTGTAAAGACCATAATAAGAAATTATATAATATATTAGTAAAAATATAAAATTCAATTTAATAAAATAAAATATATTATATATTAAATATGGTATACCTAAATATGGTAAAGATATAAGATTCAATTTAATTTATTATAAATATTTAGTTTGAACAAATAATTTTAAAAAATTAATTTTTAAACAAAGAAAGTTTGGTAAAGATAATTACCTTTGTTGGATAAAAGATAAAGTGAAAAGTTATTTTATTTCAAATATATTAATATAAAGATCCTAAGTGTAAGTGATAATTATTAATTTACTATATTAATATAAGGAATCTAAGTGTAATTAATAGAAATATTTACTGAGTTAAACAATGCGTTCCCAAATTCTGGACTATATTATACACTCTTTAATTCATATTACAACTTCCTAAAATGTGCATATATTATCTAGGTAAGAATTGTTAATATTTATATAATAAACAAATAAAAATAATAATGATTTTGCAAACTTTCTAAAAAAATTAGGCATGTTTATATGTTCAGTAATAAATTAATATTATATGAATTAATATTTAATTATATATATTATAATTATTTATTAGGAAATAAATTATAAAATAATTATTTGTATCTTTTCTTACTACACAATCATTCTATTATTTTAGAATTATAATTCTATTATATTACTATTTTATTTTATATGAAAATTATATATATGTTTACTTTGTCTATTAAAAATTCACCACTACTCCATTATTTGTATATTTTAATAATTTCTTTACTTTCATTGTTACAGGTACATTAAACAGTTGTTAACATGTAGACTTTGTTTAAATTATTAGTTTTTGTAATTACTATTAAAATTATGCTTATTTATTTTACAAAAGCGAATTTATGGATACAAAAGAAAATAAATAAATTATTGATAAATATAAAAATGTAAATTGAACAACGAGTATCTATAATAAGAAGCGACATATGTAATACACGTCATTAAATACAACTATACGTGTTATGAGATTAGTTTAATTAAAATACTGTTTTAAAATTAATATATATTATTTTAATAATAGTGTGTTAAATATGGATCTAGAGAATAGTAATAATGTATTAAAGTATATGGCGTTTATAAATGTAGACTCAAACCCGAGACCTCCTACTCTTCATATCTTCTACAAGACATGAGAAGGTCAATCAGATAATACCTATTTGACAAAGTTTAATTTTGATTTTATTTTTTCTTTTGAGTATAATATATTAAGATTTCATTAAAAATTTCAAATCAATACAAATAATGCGGGGATGACATAACCTTCTTCTGAATATCAGACATGAAACAAAAATATTATAACTAAAACAATTATTATTAGCTGATCTAATAAGAAATTCTAATGAAAATTGGAAGGTAAACTTGAAAAAATTAATAGATCTTCAAAGTGGTTGGTTAAACAAACTCCTTGAATCTTCCATGCATGGTCTAATATCCATAAACTAGTTGTTTATGACGAACACCGAGGATTTGAATCACTAAATCTAATGGAGGAACAAACCGCACAACCAAGCTCCAAAAAATAGAGATCATCATGTATGTAAAAAATTCTCTACAAATTGCACACATGTCCAAATAAATCAAAACAACTGCAAAAAAACAAAACAAAAACTTTACATAAGATGGAGAGATCACAAACTCCATACAAGATGGAAATAAGCCACGAAAAATGGCAAAAACATTAATAACTTAAATCTATGCCAAATAGTCATAGATCCGTAACTTATTTAACAAAAAAATAAAAACTTTGCAATGAAATAAAAAATAATAAAGAGAGGCTATCACAAGAAATAAAAATCAGCACCTTTCTATATCTACATGCTTCATTTTGTGTTTCAATTGAGAAAAGGAAATAAAATTCTAATGAAAAGAAAGAGAGGAAGAAAGAAGGAAGTGCACTTTTCTAATAGAAATGGCTCACTAGGCCAGAGATGATTTTCGTGGAGAGAGAATCCTTCCACGGACAATAGTTCTATTTAGTTTTGATTTTATTTGAAACAACCTTACAAATTCAGTTAATAATATTTTATTTATAAATATTCATAGTATATAAAAAGATATTAGACGTTTGATATTTATTCTTTTGCTATATATTTTGTTGCAATCATAATGCTATATTGTGTGACTTTGTCGTTTTATGAAATTGAAAATTCAATTCGCTCGTGTTTTTTCAACAGAATGCTAATAATTGTCAGTTACTAAAAGCCATTATGTTGAAACCATTATATTTAATTATATAATTTGATTTCCACTTTTTTCTTTTAGCTATCTTTATGGGTGTATACGCGCGGTCTGGATTAGGGGGCTTTGAAAATTTTAAATCAAATCGATAATTTACTGGTTTATGAATTTTTCAAATTGAAATTAAACTATTTTGAGTTACAAATCAAATTTAATTGAACTGAAGTAATACAGTTTAGCTTGAATTTTAAAACGATGTATGCATAACAAATTGAGTTTAAATAATCAAATATAATCCAAACACGAAAGTAATACTTCCTTCGTCCTTTTTTATTTACATGGTTTGACAAAACACGCATATTAAGAATTTAGTCAATAAAATTTTTTTTGTCATTTTCATCCCTAACTTAATTAAGATATTAATAAAAATCTTTCATTTATTAAATAAAAATCTTTTCATTTAATAAACAATTATACAAGTTATTATAGAGAAAATTATAGAAAAAATAATTATTTAAATATATAAATTTAGAAATCTTACAAACATTTTGGGACATTCAAAAAAGAAATAGCAATCAAACAAAATGAGACGGAGGGAGTATATATTAATTTAGAAATTCAACGTAAGCAATGAAGTAATGTTCAAAGAATAGTAAATTTCTCAATTAACTTAAATTAAAGATTAAGATAACTGTTAAGTAAAACAAAAGTGCTCCTTGAGCAATTGTTCACGTATAGAAGGTGAGAGAACATGTGACCAAATTATGGAAACATGTGATAACTACTTGTAGAACTAATAAAAGGAG